GAGAAGGGGAGCCGAGCTGCGTATGGCATTGAGAAACATGTTCTCGGTTTCTGTCTCTTTCCGTCTGCGCCGCAATACTGTTCATCGGCGCATGCTGGGGCGTGTCAGGAGGCTGAATTTGACGCACCGCCAACTAGTTCTCCACCAGTTGTTGGAGCGAGGCGATAATTGACGTAGAACGAGTCGATGCTGCACCAAATACCGCCTCCCTGGAACGCATATCATATCAACCGTGGTAAGAAACTGGGAGAATACTGGAAGAGGTAGGTATGATGAAGGAGGGAAGGGGGTCATATCAGGAAGTTCCGAAAAAGTCGTATTTTGCGAAGTTTTCCTTTAACGGCAAGACATGCACTTCCTCTTGAAATGTGGGAAAAGGTGGGAGTTGAGAGTAGGATGGTGGGGATTCGCGACAGAGGGGAGGGCGTGATTCTGGGGAGGGTCGTATTTCGCAAAGTTCCCATAACGTAATGATATGCCCTGAGCGCAGTAACACATTTCCCGATTGAACGGTTCCGTTACCGACTTGGCAGGCAGCTGAGTAGCGAAAACCTTCACCGTGAGGACAGGAGGTCCGAGTCTAGTGTTTGCCTCTCAGAGCGCGTTCATACTATGCGATCGCCTGCATCGCACGATCAGACCCCACGGGCGACTGGATCGCGAAGCATAAATGCGCTTTCACCTACATTACAAACAAATTTTTCACTCACCAAATATAGTGCATACTGTACCGCTGAGAAGCCATGATCGAGCACGTCGGTGAATCGTTTCGCACGATATAATCGTGCTTGGAAGGCTTCACTCTCTCGGACTGGAGAAGAGCGAGACGCTTGCCACCATGCAATACGATATGTGACGTACAGGCTACGTACGAGGAGGTTCACACCCTTAATGAAAAGTATTTACACTAGGGCTTCAACACTCTGAATCTAGCTCGAAGACAGTCCACATTAACCATATGGGCGCAGCCAGACCCGCCCCTGTGTTTTCCTCATGGGCGCCTTTCTCGTCATCTTGGGATGAAGAGGCATTCCGATGAAAAAGGCACAGTTTCAGGCCTGACTCCGCCCATACGATCAACGTGGCTTTTTTCTTCACGCTACACGAGACAATGTTTTGAAACGTTGATGCCCACCTCTGCTGTAATCATAGTTGCATAGAAGCCGTGCATAACTTTGAAGGAAGTGAATCCGAATGACGTCATGGCCGTCGCAGTGAAAAAGCATGCAGTCAGCACAATCAGAAGCCGTCTCATGAGTATACTTTCAGAGCTTTCAGATTTATTTTGGTTCACAGCAGGCGCTTCCGAGGCACCTTTGTCGGCAGCTTCTGATGACGATGACTCCTTCGCTGTGCTCATGTCTTCTGACGACGGTGATTCTTTTGCTTGCTCGTCTTCCAACGGCGCCTTTGCTGTGGCAACGTCATTATCGGCATCATCAGATTTCACGACATCCTTAGCAGCAGCTGGCTGCTCCTTGGATTTGATGAATGCAGCGATCTGAAATATATTTTTCAGAGACAATTTCCGTGATGACCAGGGGGCGGAGAAATGGGCGGGGACCCACAATTTTGCTCCTTGCTCATTGGTGCAAACCTCCCTTTCATATGGTAGAAAGATGGGAAGATGGGAACAATCAAGACGGAACGTAGATTGTGGGAGTGTTCTCCTTTTCCGCCTAGCCAATTATCGTGCCCTATATAGCCTGTTCATTAGATAGTCTTGTTCGCTGCGGATGATGGGGTGTGTCAGTGAGGCTGAGTTTGACGCGCCGTCAGGTCATTCTCCATGGTGGAAAACAACTCTTGTCGCTTGCCGAAAGAAACAAATGGAAAAGAACTGGCTGGCTCTGCGCCAAACCCGTCCCTCCTTGACACGCCCCATCATACCCAGCGAAAAAGATTGCACCAAAGGCAAGTTCAGACTGTTACGAGATGACTGATACCCATACTGTGGGGTAGAGATTACTGTCCATTACAATAGAATAAGGTAACGAGAAGAGCTCTTTATTTATCGATTACTCTAGTATGCGCCATGAATTTGACATTCTTTGAGGATGTCAAGACACCTACGGGACTATGTGACATATAAATAAGGTCACCTGTGCGCTAGCTTCACTTAATGCTTCCAGCCAGCACAGAAACCATATTCCACGTTCATGGCATGGGCGGGGCCGTACATATTATTGCGCCTTCGTTGTGAAGTGATGACGAGAAGGCGCGCAGAATGATGAACCCGGCTCTGTTCCGTGCAACGATCGAAGAAGAAGCGAGACGCTGAGATTCTTTTCAAGTGTATTGATGATTTGTATATTCGGATTTCGTTGAAACGGTTGTTTTTAGACGGAAGGGAATACCGGAACAATGAGTAGGGGGGGGGGACTGATAGCGAAAAGTTCGGAAAGTACTACCACCGGAATATCACGTTCACTACACTTCATGAATAATCCTGCAGTATTTCATCCAAAAACGATGAGAAGACGTGGGAACGCATTTTTTGAAGGCTTTCTACAAACGCAACGCCCTTTCCCCCCGTATTTCAGAAGTGAAAAAAAATCGGTTAACTACTTTCTCTCACCCTTGACATCTTTGACTTTGACGCCTGTGCACGATGATGACGCCAAGATAAGAAAGATCCTTCTGTGATTACGCAAAGCCTACTGCGAAAGGGGCTTATGGTCATGCTTTGCATTTCAACAACCACGACAACAATTATTTAAGCCGTGAGCGATCAAAATTCAAAAATTCATGGATGCCCTTGAAATATTAACCCCTTCTTAAACGTATCAGACAATGTTATCGAAGATCCGCGTCTAGCAGAAGAGAACGATCTCACGAGCACAACCATTCAAGATGAGCGTGATCTCCAATGGTTAAAAATATCTCCCAAACCTTTTCCATCGCCTGAAGTGATTTTCATTTAGTTCCAAAAATAATCACATGAACGGCAAGTGCAATGGTATCCATTTACAGACAAATCGCGCGATTTCATATTGTGGATAGCGGCATTCACAGCTGCTAAGTGACTCTCAAGGAAGAGAAAAGCAAAAATCATCGGGATTACTTTGGGTGCCTAGTTGATTTGATTGATTGTATGGCTGATTTTTCTCGCTTCACGGACGTTGTAAAAGGGGGGGGGGTCGTACTTGGTCATTGTTGGGAGGGGGGTCGTATTTACGTTTTGGCGTTGTAGGAGTGGTGGTTTTAGCGTTGTAGGAGTGGCTAACTTTTGGTCAATTTTCTGTTTCATCGGTACTATACACCCCTCCTCCCCCTGCTCATCAGCAAACCCCATGCTCGACACGCCAAAAGTTTTTTGGGAAAGTAGGGAGTTTGTCTGTTCATCCAGTGCTGGTACGACATAACCAGATAGTGAACAAGAAGAAAAGGAATAACATCTAGTCGAGGATCAGGTGCGTCTCAGAATCTCATTTCTTAAACTGAATGTGTAATAAAATGAACGTTCCTGAAATTATTCCAAAAAACTCCAAAAGACAGTAAAGTCTGCAAGATATTTTTTAACGTATATCTTTTATCTTACGATATTCGGTAGACTTCGTCGTACCCCAAACTATCCTGCTGCGCAACAAAATTTGGTTCCGCGATATTTGGGCCTGACGAGGTGCCGAAGATATCACAAGATAAGATATATTTTAAAAAACTTTTGAGACTTTTGCTGTCTTTTGAGTTTTTTGGAATAAATTTTTGGAGTTTCACATTGTTAATACACACGGGTGTCACTTCGAATAACACAGTGTAAATACGAAGGCTCTAATTACATGAATAGGGTTCAAATTTTTGTGGGCGGGACAGCTCGGGAGGCGTGATCACTGCCACCTCATGAGGGCCGCAGCGCCTTCATCATTTACTGTGAAGGCGCAGGACAACCGCGGGAACCTAGGATGCAGAGGACTGCCGCCAGGCGGTCGTTTGCTGCAGACTCACATGCTTCGTGTTGGTTACAGTAATTGAGCGTACTCACTTATGTTGAATAACCTCGTCCGAATTCACTGGCAATTAGTGAGAAATTCTGCAATTCTGTAGCCTACAGACAAACCGTACAGTGACGCTTCGTATTCTTCGATGACCAGCCTCATGAACTGGGAGGCATACATAAAGTTTGATTTTGGACGGAGTTGTGCGCTATCCAGAAGACAGCTTGCCCCTGACATGTTTTCGCTGGCACCCCCAAAGTATGACACGACCCTATTGTAGCCCCACGGTGACTATTGGCCGCTAAGGCAGATTTCAATCTCCTAGTTATAATACACCTGCTGTGCTTGTGCCAGCAGAACGCTATATTTATTGACAACGTCCAAGTGGAAAATCGTCTGTAGACAGCTCTGTCAAAGCTAGCCGATTATCGGTCCGCCAGAGCCTTACGTAAGTAATTCCGTCGAAATGACGAATTTCATCTGTTTACATCTTTATAAGCATTAAATTCAAAAGAATGTGTGGCACTTGGGAAAACTCAAGATTTTTAAATGATAGGTCATAAGATTCAGACTTGAGGGGGCTGGAGGGGAAGAGGGCGGGGAAGCATCATCATGTACACAACGAAAGTCTTGTACAGGTAACCTTAGGAGACTGCTTGGAATTCTGTAACTCGAGCGTCAACCACGTCTGGATCATTTCGCCGTTTACTTACAAAGCTTCCGCTTGCAGCGAAGTGAGAAGCTGTTAGTTACAATAGCAGGAAGAATATAGTGACGTGGCAAGAATGGCCGCCTCCTAAGTGCAACACGTGCTCGGAAGACAGTGTTGATTCATCGAACACGCGTTTATCGCGCCTGCAACAAGAGCTAAAGCCGTAATCACTGGACTGTGATCACCAGAGGCAACAACAACGACAAGTGAACGGCATGCTTTCATTAAAACCACTACAGGGGCCATACTTGAAAAATTCACCACACAAATTCAAATCTTCAAAGAAAGTGACTGAAAATCAGTACCAGGATCAAAAGTGGGAGCCGAGGAGGCCCACTTTTGCGATTACGACCATTTTGCCCATAGTTGCTTTGACATCGTGCTATCCAGTCCAGAAATGGAAGATGGACATGGTCCCAGCTGGGCGAACATGGTTCTCACTTTTGGTGGTGACAAACGGTATGGAACGAAAAACTTAAGCGTGGGCAATTTCCCCGAGCGAGGAGGGCCAGTGCGATCCCTTGTACCACCCCCTCAACAACCTACGCTGCGGCTTTCATCTATCCTCTTACCAAGAACACAGTCTTGGGAAAAACCTCTTATAACCAAAACTTCACTCTCGCTGAGAGACAAAAAAAGGGGCGGCGTTCCCACATAGTAGCGGCGCTCGCACGCTAATCAAGCGAAGAGGTACATGACGCGCCTGGAGAAAGAAGACAATGTAATGAGGCTGCGGCGAATGCACCTCCTCCTCCCGTAAGCCGACAGATACGATCCCTGCTAAAAAGAATCAGCTGAAACGAGGCCACGTAGGTGTAGTGGCTTATTGAATGCGATATGGACTATAGAATGACTTTGAACTAAGCTGGCCATTTGATGAAAGTGCTTCTATCCTCGGAAAAATCCAGAAATCTGATCCCAGTTCACCATCCCCGGAGGATATTTAAGGTTAAGTTGTCCTAGGCGGGAACGATCCGGGAATTGACCCTCACACCGTACGCATGATAAGTAGGGGGGAGGGAACTTGTCACACCCTAGTGCTCCAAAACTTCTGGATATCTCTACGATTTAGAGCAGATGGAGAAATTATTGAGCGACTCAGTCCTAATAAGTACACATGTGGGTGGTCCTGCACCGGAAGGAAGCCAAGGGGCAGGACCATTCACGTAACGCGGTGCCCAGTTCGCACTGAGATGGTTCGATACGGCAAAAACCATCCTAATATCACCGTATAACAGAATGATTAGGTGGGTGGAAACGTTCAGCGATAAAGTAATCATCTGCTGTTATCAGATGAAATTCCCAACTTCAGTACTCACCCACTCAGTCGGGATCGAAGGTCTCTTTGGATGCCCCAGCCTTATTTAGGGTGTCTTGAAACCATCTAGGCAGAATTGGGATTAAAAATTTGAAAATCTAAAGTCGAAAATGATAAAAGTGGAATTGGGAATTGAACAAATTGCATTTAGTTTTAGGCTACGGTTTTTCTTTCATACGGGAATATTTTATTCCGCCAATGACAGGAAAAAGAAAGAAGCTTTTCGGGTGCTGATCAGTCGCCCTGGGAATGCGCCACTGATTCTGGTTCCATTCAGGATCACAGGGGCTTTTTGTAACGATATGGCCCGTGTCATAAATTTTGCGGACCAGATTATGGGTAAATCAGTGTTGTTATCCTCTTAAACATGTCTTGTACTAAATAGCCGACCAAAGTGGGGATGAATGAGATGATCTGAGACCGCTATTTTTCACCACATCTAACTAATAGATATGTTGTTGATGTAATCGTCTTTAACGACAAGGAAGTAGTTCCCTGGATAAAGAGCTAATTTATTTTAAGCAATTTGCTCAAAACGTGGTGTTGATAAAATCTTCTACGAGGGGTCGTCTGACTGATTGTCAGGAAGAAGAGGGGGGGGGGGGGGAAGGAGGACTGGCTCGCTCCACAGAGGAACATCTCCATCAGTGTTGAGGGAGGTGAAAATCTTTCGAAGAACGGATTTTCCTAGCCTCTTGAGCTTCTTACAGGGTACTTCCTGAGGTCTGTGTGAGAATTTTTGCGAAGACGTCTCTCCCTACGACTCCTCTCTGGCATCCTCTGGTCAAACCTAAATTATCCCAACATTTTACCGTCGAGGAGAGGGGGGGGTGAGAATAAACACCTCCAGTCAACTATCAGGAACGGCAGTTTTGCGGTCCGGTCATCTACCAAAGTAAATGCCGCGCGGTAAAAGGATCAAATCAGCAACCGGAAGTTTTTCTCTAGCGGGGTGAAATACGACCCCTGTTGAGAATACCCTGTCTGTAAAGCGGATTTTCTAACCAAAAAGGGGTATGACGTACCCCTTTTTGGTTAGAAAATTCGCTTTACAGACAGTACTGCGTTCAATAAATTCGTAGGCTTCATTCCTTGTTGAGATAGGTAGTCGGGTCCTCAGTCTCAAGACTGTCTCACTTTCGCGGCTTCAAAGAAAGTAGCAGAGCGCTGTGGTCCTTATAAGTGACAGTTCGCCTCTCTAGTTGTTCCGGCCACTGAAACCAGATGGCCATTTCTGTATTGAGTTCGAGTTTTTAGACAGTGTTTTAATTCTGTATGTCATTGAGTAGACCGGACAAGTGAAAGTGGGTCCGATTATGGCGCGCCAGAGCGACCGGACATCCATTTCCGTCATAAAACGAGAGGTCTGGTAACTGGTCCAGAGAGACTACCAGGTCTGTACTTAGGGTGCTCTCCATGATTTTTTTTTCTTGTTCTTCTCTGGAGATTCACTCGACGGCTGTAAGTTTGTAATTAAATGCCACCAAATGCCATCATCCACAATATACAGTCGCGGGGTTTGTCTTCAGTAAAGCACCTCTGTCATCAACAAACTTCCTCTACAGCGAAACTGTACAAAAATTTTCCTAATGTCATTTCCATGTTTTGAAATGGAGATTTGTGCGTATTTACGCTGTAATCTGCTGAAAGCGATGATCTTTATTTTCCTTCAAGCTGATCCTTGCAGTGACTATACTATAAGGTATCAGGAATCAGAGAATGATGAAATGGGCTTATATCCTGCTCGGATTATCATTTGCTTATACAGCTCCTCCGACTTCTTGGCAAGATACATCCGCCAGCCTGTGCCGGGTTTCAATGACAGCTGACTTGTCGGCCGAGTCTGAAACTCTCCACAACCCTCTGCCAATGAATCCACCCGCGGATCTGACTCCGCTTGATGGCTATTTTTGATGCAAAAGTCAGTTACAAGCAG